TTTCCTTTTTTTTTTTATTCAGTTTTGATTTTTTGAATGTGTGACTGAGAGGAGGTTATGTGCGTGTGAGGATGGAAAGCAGTGGATGGAAAACGATTGTACGCGTGAAGAAGAAAAAGTTGCCGACCGACTTTTGCCTCGGTAACCTCAATTGTGCGTAACATGATTATGTTATAAGCTTTTTGACTCTTTACATTAAAACCAACTAACTTCTAGAATGTTTTGAAAAAGGGTAATTGATATTATAGCCATGGGATCAACCAGGTCACCTCAATAAGGCTAAAAACAGGTTGATTGGAGACCTGAGTGACAAACAGATAAGTTAGAGATTACCTTGTACAGAAGACAACCTACTCGACTTCGATCTATACAACAGAGGAGATAGAACCGGTTCGAGTACACATGATTTGGAATCTTGGATACCTGATTCACAAGTACTCGTTGTGACGATCTTGAGAGTTGCGACCTACTAATACTTGGTACGTGAATTTAAGATCGGGAGACTTTTGAGCACCTTGAACCTGAGTTGATGGAGACCTAACCAAGATAAGAATGAATCTAAGCAGGATAAGAATGAATCTAATGATGATAAGGTATCAAGATATCGATGAACACAAAGTAGATAAGGATTAATCATCGGACAGTTGGTTGTTCCGGGCAGCTGGATTTTCCGAGCAGACTGACTGGGGCAGCCCGGACAACTAAATCTTGGGCACCAAGGCATTTCCCCTATAAAACAGGGGTGGGGTACAACTGAAACACACTGGGGTGATTTGAGGTTTTTCTCAGTCGGCTCCACCTAGAACCAGGTCTCCAACACATCATTTCTTGGACACGAAGTTCAAAACAATCACGACATTTATTTATTGTGATCTTTGACATCAAGAACATGCGTCGGTTCTTTCGATTCCTTCACATCTAATTGCTTGGACAACCATACCCTTGCATCTAACAACATCTTTACACCACTTCCAGTGATCGGAACGCCGTCTAGGCACAATACAAATAATACCACCACGTTTCTGTCACTATACACACAATGCTCATTTTGTGAGAGATCAAATTCATAAAAAATGATGTTGATATCATTTTCAGTAAGCCAAATTAAGTGACGTTAATCCGCCGATTGGGGTCAGTATAAGGATAATTAAGATTCATGCAAGCACGAGACGCTTCCACCGGCTTCAAGACGGCTGCACGATGAAAGATTCAACAAGAACCGACATCTCCATTATTTG